TATTTTATGACGCAATAATATATATGTAAATATATCTCTTTATTTATTTATTTCACTAGTTTTTTAAATTAACATTTTTTATAGGCATTTAACATATGATAAATTACAATAATTGGTAATAAAAAAATATTTAAAATAGTTATTATTTACATTTCTTAAACAAGGAAAAAAATGGGTTTGAAAATTTTGATAAATTTTTAATAAGATAAAATTCATAATATTTTGTTTAATTTTGAGATGAGAAAAATTAATTGTGAATTCATAAATTTAAATTAAAAAAAGGTAAAATTATTATTTGATCTATGGAAGAAATTGAGCATTATAATTTACATAATGACAAAATATTTTAATAGATAAAAAATTATAATATATATTGAATTCAAAAATATTTGTGAGTGATATCATAATCTAGTTACGTATACAAAATAAGTGCATAAATTTATAAGAATGAACAAGAAGTAATATAATATATGTTATAATATATTTATTTTAATCATCAAATTACCTATTTAATTTATAGATTTTAAGAATTTATTTGTGATAGTGACATCTTTTTATAAAGTTATTTATTAATAATTTGTTATAGAGAAAATAACTTAGGCTCAAATGAAATTATGATTATTGATTGAAAAATAAAATAGTGAGAAAATTATATCAAATACATTCTAATTTATATAACAAATATAATATTTGATTATGCAAAAAGATTTAAGTATTTATAGTTAATATTATTCCTAACATATATATCTTTTGTGAAATCTATGTAAATTTCTTAAATTTTAATTAATAAACAATACTTCAATGGTTATATTTACAAAATCATAATTGAGAACCACTTTGCAATTTTAGAAAAAGTAAGGGGCATTTTGTTAATTCAGCCTGTAAATTAAGATGGAGTAGCAATTCTCTCCAACTGCCAGAGTAATTGCACGGCAAAATACACAAATCAGAGCCGTGCAGTCGAATTTAAGGCTTTATTTCAAAAGTGTGGAGCTCATCGTAGCCGTTCCGTTTTGGTGCAGTACAGCACGATTGGATAGGATTCGAATCATTTGCGACTAAACCATTAGATTTCTCGCACGTGGATACCTTATTAAACGTAATGAAAAATATCCGAGCCACCATAGCCGTTTGATTTTGATTTTGATTTTGAATCATGACCATCGAATACATTAAATTAAAGAAAAATTGTATATTTCCTAATCTTATTTGGTTTTTTGTAAAAAAAAAAATAAATTTAAATACTTTATAAATAGTTGTTTAATATTTAGAATTCACTATTTTGTTCAATTTTGACGTGTTTGAAAATCACGAGATTTGATCTAATTCTGAATATGTTCTAATTTGTTTGTCATTGTTGCCCAAGTCTTTGCTTATTGTCATTGATCATAGTCATCAACCACTGCAAACCGATTGTCGTCATTGTAAACTTCCACCATCATTTTTGGGCACCAGCCACCAAGGGCGGAACCGGCCTTAATTTTCAAGGGGGGGAGCAAACTTATAAGTAAAAGTATTGAGATTTCGCATATATGCCGGGGGTCCGAGGCAGCGGGGTTCGACCAGATGAAATGATCTATTTTGTTATATACATTTTCTAATTTCATATGCAAAACTTGAAAATAGAAAAAAAAATCGAGAGGCCTGAACCAAATAAAATGATCTAATATACACACAAGTTATAAGAGTTTATTATTCCCCTTAACTAAAGAAAATGAGATTACAAAGTTTCTAACACAAGTTTGTAATTCTTTAAATATGGTACAATTCTAATGATGCAACAGTTTGATGGTATTAGTCATAATGTCATTGAACAGACGACGGTGATATTTGGACAGTGACACCGATCGAATGATATTGATTGAATTATGATGACTAGGTGGCGACAGTCCGGGGACAACGAACGAATGATGATAGCAAGGTGATGACAAGGGATATTAATGTTCGTTGATATAGAACATCAACCATTGCTCTATAGTTATTCATATCTCCAAGCTCTAGCTCTCTTCTAGTATAAGGCTTTCTTTGGGAAAGCTTTCTTCATGTTTCTTAAAGCAGCTTTTTGGTTAAAAAATTAAAAATTTTGTATTAAAAAGCCGCTTTACGAAGCAGTAAGAAATCCGTCCCAAACGAAGCCTAAGTCTATTCATATAGAGAAGGTGCATATACAATAAAAAATAAATAAATAAAACAAAAAAAATGGAGAATATGCCTATTAATATTACTATTAGGTGCACATTTTGATAATTTTAGTTATATATAATACAAATTTTCAACCTAGAAATTTAACTTTATTGTGAAAATATAAATTTGAGGTATTCTCTATTTGAATTTGATTAATTAATTAAATTTAATCTTATTTTAAGCTAAATTATAATAGTTAGAATTAGCTCATAAATAAATTTATTTATTATGAAGAATTTAATTTTGTTGAGTATTTTGAAAAAAAAAAACAAAATTATCTTAATATTTTTAAAAGGGTAAGTTTGTCTTATTAATTCAAATTTGGCTAATTAATACTTCAAACTCAAATGTTATTATTTTTAATAAAATTTTAAATTAATATTTCTTTAAATAATAAATCATAATAAAATTAAAAAAAAAAATTGATATAAAAGGCCTATTCGCACGTGGGCCCTACGTCCCCATCGACCAATAAATTCCTGAATTTCTTCCACACTATCAAACTTTTTTCTCTCACCCCCAATGGCTTCTCTGCAACTCCTTCGGCTGCTTTAATGGCGGAACCCTAAACCCTAGAAACCCTACTCTGCTTCTTCCTTTCTTCATGGCCTCCTCTCTCCTCGTATTATTCGTACTCCTTCTTACCTCTCTGCTCACCGCCGCAGATGATATCAACCTTCTCATATCCTTTAAACGCTCTCTCCCCAACCCTCAAACTCTCCCTACCTGGATCCCTAAAAACAACCCCTGCACGTCCTTCACCGGCGTTTCCTGCACCGCAGGTCGCGTAACTCGCGTGAATCTCGACTCTGTTCCTTTCAACGCCGACTTCCGCGTCGTTTCTTCCACTCTTCTTTTTCTCGACCGCCTTGAATCCTTATCCATTCGCTTCTCCAACCTCTCCGGCAGCATCAGTCGAGCTTCCCGCTGCGGAGGGAAGATTTTTGAGCTTTCCGTTGCCGGAAACAGCCTCACTGGTACGATCGCCGATGTTGCAGCACTGGCTTCGTTGTGCTCTTCACTCAGGACATTGAACCTTTCCGGCAACGCGGTTGCGGGTTCAGGCGAGGGCGAGTTCAGCTTCCCGTTGCTGGAGACACTTGATCTCTCTTTCAACAGGATCTCGTCCATCGGCGACGTTCGAAAAATCTTACTCTCCGGTCCCGGCATCCGCTTTCTTGACCTCTCCTCAAATGCCATCTCCGGTGAGATAGCGAGTGGAGTACTTGACGGTTGTGGGCAGCTTACCGTTCTCAACCTATCGTCGAACCATCTCTCTGGAGCTCTATCTGGTGATCTTGCGTACTGTTCTTCTCTTCAGGCATTTAATCTCTCTGCTAATAATCTCTCAGGTGAGATCCCTGTTGAAACGCTCTCTGAGATCTCTGATCTAAGGATCCTGCAGCTCTCATTCAACAATTTCTCCGGCGGGCTGCCTAAATCTCTCTCTAATCTCACCAAGCTGGAAGTTCTTGATTTCAGTTCCAATGCCTTGTCTGGCTTCATCCCCCTTAGCTTTGGCAGCAGCTTAAGGGAGATTCATCTGCAGAGCAATCTCTTCACAGGCCCCATCCCAGCAACTCTTAGCAACTGCTCGAATCTTGTTTCCATCGACCTCAGCTTTAATTACCTCTCCGGGAAGATCCCTTCCTCCATCGCTACTCTTCCTTTCCTCCGGGATCTTATCATGTGGCAGAACCTCCTTGAAGGTGAGATCCCCACCGATTTCGGCCGCAGCACTGCTCTCGAAAACCTTATCCTCGACAACAATGCTCTCACCGGCTCAATCCCTTCTGGTCTCAGCAACTGCTCCGATCTCAACTGGATCTCTCTCTCCAGTAACCACTTCACCGGCGAGATACCGTCATGGATCGGCCGGCTTGAGAATCTCGCCATCCTTAAGCTTGGAAACAATTCCTTCTCCGGTTCCATTCCACCGGAGCTCGGTGACTGCAAGAGCCTCATATGGTTGGATCTTAACAGTAATCGGTTGAGTGGCACTATCCCATCCACTCTATCAAAGCAATCCGGCAATATAGCGGTTGGATTTGTAACTGGAAAGAGATATGTCTATTTGAAGAATGATGGGAGCAAGGAGTGCCGAGGTGCGGGGAACCTCCTTGAGTTCGCCGGAATCCGGCCAGAACAACTTAGCAGGCTACCAAGTCATCCCTGCAACTTCACCAGAGTGTATGTTGGGAGCACCAGGTACACTTTCAACAAGAAGGGATCCATGATTTTTCTTGATTTGTCTTACAATGATCTTACCGGTGAAATCCCGAGAGAGCTTGGCAGCATGTATTATCTCATGGTATTGAATTTAGGCCACAATATGTTATCAGGACCCATTCCTGATGAATTAGGTAGCTTGCGATATGCTGCTGTGTTTGATCTCTCGCATAATTCTCTGGAGGGTTCCATCCCAGCAAGTTTGGGCCACCTCACTATGCTCTCTGAAATTGATCTATCTAACAATAAGCTCAATGGAACAATTCCTGAATCAGGTCAACTCGTCACATTCCCAAGTTTCAGATATGAGAACAACTCTGGTCTCTGTGGCCTCCCTCTTCTTTCCTGCGAGCGAAACTCCTTGTCAAGTTCAAGTAATCAAGAACAGAAGTCTCACCGGCGGCAAGCGTCCATTGCCGGCAGCGTGTCTTTGGGGCTTCTTTTCTCAGTTTTCTGCATCATAGCCATCATCCTCATTGCAGTAGAGAGCAAAAAGAGAAGCAGATTAGTAAAGGATAATGGAAGCAGCACAAAGGACATCTATATCGACAGCCTTTCGCATTCTTCCACAGCCTGGAAGATGACTACCACGAAGGAAGCCCTGAGTATCAACCTCGCCACCTTCGAAAAACCCCTAAAAAAACTCACTTTTGCTGATCTCCTCGAGGCCACCAATGGCTTCCATGATAACAGCATGATTGGCTCCGGCGGTTTTGGCGATGTCTACAAGGCTCAGCTCAAGGATGGCAGTATCGTCGCCATCAAGAAACTGATACACATTAGCGGACAGGGCGACAGAGAGTTCATGGCAGAGATGGAAACCATTGGAAAGATCAAGCACAGGAACCTGGTTCCCCTCCTGGGTTACTGCAAGGTGGGAGAAGAGCGTCTCCTTGTTTATGAATACATGAAGTATGGAAGCTTGGAAGATGTTCTACATAACCGGAAGAAGACGAACATTAAGCTCGCTTGGCCGGCAAGGAGGAAGATAGCAATAGGTGCAGCAAGAGGCCTTGCATTCCTTCACCATAGCTGCATTCCTCACATCATACACAGGGACATGAAATCCAGCAACGTACTTCTTGACGAGAATCTCGAAGCAAGAGTCTCCGATTTTGGAATGGCGAGATTGATGAGCGCAATGGACACTCATCTCAGTGTATCGACGCTCGCCGGCACCCCGGGTTACGTCCCGCCGGAGTATTACCAGAGCTTCCGGTGCACAACCAAAGGGGATGTTTACAGTTACGGCGTTGTACTGCTCGAGCTCCTCACCGGAAAGCCGCCGACCGACTCTGCCGATTTCGGCGACAATAACAATCTTGTTGGTTGGGCGAAGCAGCACTCAAAGCTCAGGATCAGTGATGTTTTCGATCCCGAGCTTCTAAAAGATGATCCCGGGCTTGAGTTGGAGCTGTTGGAGCATCTTAAGATCGCTTGCGCCTGCTTGGACGATCGACCGATGCGAAGACCGACAATGCTTAGGGTTATGGCTATGTTCAAGGAGATTCAGGCAGGGTCAACGGTAAGCTCCACGGCCTCCGCCGCCGCTTCTTCTCTGGGTGATGGTTTCACAGTGGTTGATATGAGCTTAAAGGAAGGGAAGGAGGAGAAAGATTGAGCAGCAGCAGAGCAAACTAAGGCAATTCTTACAATTCCTTCAACACATTTGGTAAAATCGCATATTTTACTCTTTATTATCTGCAATCACTGTAACATATTTGTAGGAATGCCTGTTTCACAAATCACAAGCTTTTCAGTTCTTTCCATGTACATATCTGCCAACCTTCTTCCCAATATCTAAATTTTCCTTCATGAACTTCTGATTATTTAATCCTCCTTCATGAACACTTAGGACAATTTTATTTTATTATCTTTTTTAGTTAAGACTGAACCACACACATGCAGGTTTGATTCCTTTTTTCATTATTATTATTTTTGCCTAAAGTTGCTTTATCTATTTAACTATTTTCCATTAAAGTTTCTGTCTCTTGCAGTTTGTCTTAATCCAGTTTTTGCAGTAAACAATCAGGTCGCAGAGCTGCTACAAAAGGTAATCATGAATTTAATCAATTGATTGCTTGTCTTAATCCTTTCCAAGAAAGTTTTTTTTTTTCCTTTCTGATTTTATAATTTACATGATTATTACTCATAAGAATGAAATATAATAGTGATATATCTAATATTTAAATTTATATGAGTAGTAAGGATATAATATTAAAATTTTGATTGTTAGATATGTAAATAATACGAAATAAAACGGTAGGTATGTAAATCTTCCAAAAAAAATGAAGGATTATGTTAGTTAGTTGAAGGTCTGTATAATGTCGATATAAAATTTATCGAATAATCATAATATTAATTTTTAATACATTTACTTCTACATAAGATTTATATATATTTTTTATATTTGAGCTTAATTTACATAATTATATGGATAAAATGATTATGTTGATTTAATTTGTGTTTGTAAATTTTGAAATTATTAAAATACAGAGAGAGAGGTTGTATTATTAAAAAAAAAAAAGAAAATAAAAAAAAAGAAGCTATGGGATAGATATGGTTGAGAAACATGCAGAGGACATATGGGCCCAAAGCAGCATTGAAGCAATTTAGGCATCTTTTTGTTACTGTGTAATGTAATGTCCTCTCAAGTGGCCATTCATTGAATTGTTATAAGGAGTCTGTAGTCTTGAGCCCATCATGTGGTGGTGGGCCCCTCCACTGCCCTTTATAGATCATCACAAAATTATTTCATCATCTCCCTCCCCATATAGAATTTTTGTTTGGGATATTATTATATTTATTATTTTTTAACATAATTTTTATAGTATAAAAATTTCTTAATTTGTTACTCTTTAAAAAATAGTTAAAAAATTGTCTTGACTTTATTTGAGATAGTATTTTGGTTTAGTCGAAGTTGTAGGGCATCTCCAACCGAAAAACTCATTTTTCATTTCAAAATGCAGTAATACAGCAAAATGCAGTAACTTGTCTTCAATTGAATTTCATTTTCTAACATCAAAAAAGAATATTCCTAGTATATTCTTCCCAGGTTCAATAATTTTTATTTATTTGTTTATTTATTAACACAAAAAATATATGCTATTATTTCATAATCCAATATATGTAAAAATTTTTATAATGAAAAATAAATAATTGGAATAGAAATAGAGTTGGAATGGCTTATATTTTCATTTTACCCCACATTATAATATGCATATATATTGAAATTTAATATTTTGTAATTATAAATTGATGAAATCATTGGAAAAAATAATTTTGTATTTATAAATTTTTTTTTAAAAAAATTGACAAGAACTAAATAATGAAAAATAAATATAGTTCTATGGTAGGAAAAACTTGGTAGCTCAACATCAATGGCTATCAGTGTGGTCTGTGGTGGTGGAGACAGCCTTCATCAGCCTGAGGACCACCTTTCATTATAAGAGCTCATTTGTGAGCATTTTGGTTTTTTATTTATCTTCAATTATTGATATTTTTATTGTTTTATTATAAAATGTTATTTCATGGTAATAATAATAATACTTAGCTATTCTAATAAAATTAAGGTATTAAAAAAATTAGTACAAATACTTTTTGAGCTATAAATTTTTATATTTAAAGGTTTCATTTAAGACGGATTTTTTTTAATGTATTTTAAAGAAACTTTTTATTATAAAAATTAAAATAAAAGGATTTTAAGAAGCAGTAAGAAAGTCGTCTTAATCGAAATTAGAAGGTTATTTAAAAAAATAATAAGTTGTCCCAAATAAAGTTTAAATTTCATTGCATTAATTAATGTTCTTAAAAACATTTGCTAATGTCTGATCTTCATGATTAAAGCAAATAATTTCACTTTGACTTCTGTGAAAATAGATCTAAAAGTCCTCAATTTCAAAAAAAAAAAAAAAAATCTTAAATTATTAGTGCAATTTTAAAAAATAAATCTCATAAATTTCAATGGAAACTTATGAATTTTGTGTAATTTTACAATTTCTCATAAAATTTTATTAATAATATTTAGTCATTAAATGTAGTTTTTACAATAAAAAATGAAATTAAATCTCAAATTATTAACAATTTCATAAAAATCTCAAAAAAAATCAAAGCCTAATATTAAAAAATTATGAATTTTTAGTATTTTAAAAGGAAAAAAAATAATCAAGAGAAGACCCTCTAAAGTCTCACCATAAGATCATTTAATAATATAATTTTCACTAATTAACGATAATATTCACCTAATAATAATTAATATTATATAATGCGTCATTAGTCGAATAACAACAATGTGGCATTTTCCTATAGCCGTTTTCTTGTCGGCCGGTGTTAAGGCAGAGGACGTCGCACATGCGGACCGAACAGGAGCATCCTTCGCACGTGTAAATGTCGGGGCCCACATTGCCGCCTGTGGGAAGTGGACGTGGGCCCACTCTTGGGGATTAGGACAGGAGTCACGTGTGGTGGTTCATAATTAAAAATATCTTTTTTTTTTTAATAAAAGAAAATTTATATATCAATTATGTATATATATTTAATATTATGATGCAACATGAGCGAAATAGTAAAAAGATAATATAATTATAATAAAATACTTTTTAATAATTAATATTTTTATCTTTTAAATTCATTGAAATGATTGATAAATTGGCCAATCAAATTATATTTAATTATAAATGAACTTAGGCTTATTTGAGATATTTTTCTTATTACTTTCTAAACTGATTTTTTTTTTAATGGTAAAAATTTTAATTCAAAAATTTTTGAACTAAAAAACTGTTTTAGAAAACAATAAGAAAGCTGCCCTAAACGAAGTCATAGGATGTGGCTTAATAAAAAGAAGCTATTATGTAACATAAATATTCTGTCTTATGAACCGAAAATGGTGGGATTATAAAGAATGTATTGTTTGTTTGCCGACAACAATCAACCAATGGTATATGCCAATTTTGGTTGCTTGAACGATTGATACGATGGTCGGAACGTGATGGTAAGACAACAATAGACATTGATGTAATTTGATAGGGTTCACCCTGGTTGCAAGACGGCATCGTGGGGCTACAAACAAGTTAGGTTATGGAGGTCGATCATAGTTCTTAGTGTCAGTCGATGATGATTATGCAGTAGTGCTAGGGGTCGCCATCAATTAATAGGCAGAGTTTAAGAATTCTGCAAATCCAATGTTCTTCAAAACTCCTATCTCTAGAGTTCTTCAGATCTCCAGAGTCTCTCCCTCGTCCACTCTAGGTCCCCCTTCATGTGAATAATCAAGTCTATTTATATCACTTGTAGAGTGAATATTTTGATAAATTTAATCAAAATTTCATAACTCTCTACATGAAGGCTCGCGTTGAATCATTTTATTATAGATCATATATTCAACATTTATGTATTTTGTTTGCCTCATGATCGAATGATTATGGATTCGTTTGATTCTTATCATCAAGCCAATAGTTTTGACTTTAAGCATTCTCAATATTTTTTATTATCTTTGAGATGTTCCACTCAGACTCGAACTCAGATCAGATCAGCTTTATTGTTGTCAGATTTATCCTATCAAAACATTCAATTTGATTATAAATTCATCGAACTCCATCTTTTGATGATTCTTAATATAATTTTAAAAATTTTTGAATATTGCATCAAGATTCGTGCAGATCAAAATAAATTTGATTAAATCATATCAATCCAAAATTATTTCTGAAAGTTGTGTCAGTCATATACATAAAATATTACAAACTAATCATTAAATTTAGCATTATATCAGCTAAAGCAAGATTTAATTAAGTCAGGTCTGATCATTAGCAATAATCATAGCTTTTTATCATCAAAACCTTCACCTCTTTACAGTTTCAAGAAAAAATTTAATAATTATTATTTAAAATAATACTAATAATTAACATTTATGGAATTATTTATTTATTAATAATAGAGAGCGTGCCATTATTAATAATAGGGGGCATCGGGCTTAGAGTCCGCACGTGCGGTCCACGAGGGGGTCACATGCGTGGTGGGAGACAAAGTCTGCAGCCATCTTCTTAATAATCCATTTTTAATATAATTATAAATACTGATGCAAATTAAAATAAATAAAGATTGCTACCATTTTTACATTATTTTTTGGTTGGAGCTTTTATGGAATAAAAAAATAATTGAGATAAGCCTAACATTGAAATAATATAAATGCTTAAAAATGATAGGATACATTGCTCTAAAATGTCTTGATTTGCCATAAATTATTTGGAAGATTTATTTATATAAAATTTGAAATTTGTGTATTCATATATATATTTAAGAGTTAGAATTCATAATAAAAATTTTAAATATCAATAAAAATGATACTTATCACCAAATGTCATTCAGATCCCATCTCGCCAGCTTTGAATATTGCGTGCTTTGTCGCTCGTATATGACAAACTAACTAAAGAGAAGTCATAATGGAGCTCGCTGCGGCAACATAAGGATCAAGATAGAGCTTGTTCGACCAAGGCCCCAACTAGGTATGCAAGCAAGTTGAGTCGAGTCGAGCTCAAGTTGGGTCGAACTTGAGCTCGACTCGTGAGCCAAATCTCGAGCTCGAACTCAAATCGAGCTAAAAAAGTCGATCTCGAGCTCAACTTGCCACAAAAATCAAGTTCACCAAGCGGCTATCTTCCAACGCGAACGTGGTTCGCATGTGCCCGCTTCGTATTCGCCCCGGTCGTTCTGCCTCTTGCCGTCTTAAGATTAGCCTCCACTTCGCACGCATACGAGCACCGATTCACCCCCGCTATTCTTCCTTCCACCCTCTTCGTTCTACTTTCTAACTTTCACCCCAGCTCAACGAGTAGTCAAGTTGACTGGACTGCTATTCAAACTCAAGCTCAAAATCCGACTCGAACTTGACTCGTGAGCAGGATAA